AACAGGGGCCTGGCATGGTTGGTCGTGTCAGCCTGACACAGTTGGTCGTGTCAGCTGACACGGCCCGTGTCAAGAAGCGCCCACAACATCGATTTTTGACGTAAACAGGGAGCTGACACGGTGTGTCAGCTGACACGGTGTGTCAGCTGACACGGCCCGTGTCAGGAAATGCCCAGAACACTGATTTTTGGAGGTAAACAGGGAGCCGACACGACCGCCCGTGTCAGCACCCCTGGGAGGCGCGTGATGAAAGTTAAAGCAGTGAGCTGACACGGCCGCCCGTGTCAGCTGACACGGCCCGTGTCAGCTCTGCTGAGTAAAAAAAAATTTATTTCTTTTCCTTGTTTTACAACAGTTCTTTGTCACTCTTGGGACCTCCACAATATGTTCAACAAAAATATCACTCAAAAGAGACAAACAAAAACAATGCAAAATATGTAAAGAGAGAAAATTTTGAAAGAAAAGATACCCAAGAGCTCTATTCTCCTTCTAATCACCAATGGCTTTGTTGGATGTGCTACACTTCCTTTTCTGGTTTTCTATCACTCTCTTGTTCTCTCAATGATATTCTTAATATTTCTCAATGTCTCTCAATGTTTCTCCATGTCTCCTTTTCTCTCTTATTTTTTTCTGGTTTTTATGGTTTTCTTGTGTATTCTAACTCTCTTGATTTTTCTGGTTTTTTCTTCCTCTCTCTTGCTTTACTTCTCTCCAAATGGACCCCCTTTTTCTACTGATGTTGCTTTTCTTTTATAGTCAAAGCATTAGGTTTTGCACATGTTTTCAAACTTCAGAATTTCTACACTTAGAAATGTCCAATGCTACTTTCTTTGTGCACCCTTTTCCTCTCCATTCCTAGAAATCTTACTTTTTCTGCTGCACTTTTGCTGCTGTACCAAAGTAATAGATTTTGCACATGCTTCAAGTTTCAAAATTTCCATACTTGAAAATGCTTATTACCACTTTCTTGGTGCAACCCCATTTCTTTCCATTTCTAGCATGCTGCTTTTTGGCTTTTGCTGCTGCACTTTCCTAGTGCTGTCTTTTTTTGCTGCCATTTTGCACTACTCTCCTTTGTTCACTTATTATTGGGTTGTCCTTGTGGTTCATGCTTCTCCTCTTGACAGAATTTTGAAATTCTGAATTTTGGTATGTATGTGAACCAACATGAACTAGTTCCTTAAGTTTGTGACATGGTTTGTTTAGTTGGGAATTAATTGGTCATGGGGTTGTTTTAGATCACATTGAAATTTCCTTGAAATTGCCCATGGCTAAGCACTAATGGTCTTGATCTTGAAATGTTACAATGTTGAATTACACCTTAATTGTTTCTTTGGATATTTGTGGGTTTAATTGGTTATGAAATATATGTAGCACATGGAGATTTGATGAGGCATGAAGGGTACCATAACATGAAATTAGTTAGAAACTTGAATTAAGATTAACAATATCTTTTTTTAAGCATCGCTTAGAGTTGGAAACTTTTGCAACAAATGTGACATTCTTGCAAATGTCATGAAATTTCCCTCTGTAACATTCTTGAATCTAATCTTGAATTCATGAATTTTGAATTTGAAATGATGGGTATCCCTTATGCCATTGAAAATGAATGAAGTCTTGAATTATGAACTTGTGATCTTGACTTATGTCTAGCAAATTTGGATTCCACTTGAACATAGAATTTGAAACAAAGTTGGATGAAGAAAACTTGAATTAGGCCTTGCACTTCATGTTCATTAGGAATATTGATCTTGAATATCCCAGTATTTTCAAGTAACTTCTCCTTGAAGGAATCTACATGAGTAGACTTTCCAACTTGAACCAAACCTTAGATGATGAATCTTTTCTTCCATGTAGCCCATGATAGGCAATTTATCTTATTTGAAATGGAAAACAACGAACCGACCCAATCTTCACCTTATGAACCCACATGCTCGAAATGTAATAGAACGATGTATGATATGACGAATTTAGATTATTGAAAATATTTTAGCTAATTTTATTAACTAAAAAGAGTTTGAGCAACATAATATAAGAAAGAAAGAAAAAAGAATAGATGAACATATAAAGATAATGCGTAAAGAAAATAACACAAAGGATAATAAAGAGATAAGGGAAATAGAGCATGGAATAAAGATTTATACAGGTTCGACCTAACTAGTTGGCCTACTTCTGTCTCAAAGAGTTTTCTCCTAAGAGTTCCAATAAAGATGTGAGTTTTTCATAGGTTATACCCACGCAACCATCTTACAATGAAATGGATATGTTAATTGACCAAATCTATGAATCAAATAAGAGATTTTAATAGGCTAATCTTCAAACAAGAGATTTTAACAGGCTAACTTCCAAGCCAAACAAAAGTTTTTAACCAACTGAGCTCAAGAACCAAAACAAAGACTTTACCTAGTTAATCCCAAGAACCAAACAATAACTTCCTTTGATGATAGTACAAAATAGATAATTCCCTCTTTAGTAACTTACAATAATTCCATATCACCATAATTCATAATATTTTCTACTCTCAAAACACTAAGACAACATTGTGAAAAAATAGAAAAAGATGAATTAAGAGAGAGTAAACATGAGAAAGAATAGTTATAGATTCAGTTTCTAGTGTTACATGAAAATGAAGAGAAACCCTCAATGTATATGAGAAAAGTTGGCTCAAAATTGAAAGAGATCCGTGAACTTTTTAATGACTTAATCGATTAACCCTAAGGTCTAATTGATTAAGAGCTTAAAAAATACGACAACCCTAATCTCAAATGGAAACCCTACAACGATTATGTGACTTAATCAATTAAAACTATTTCTAATTGATTAAGATTTTTTTTTACCTTTCTCTAATTGATTGGACTATATCCTTAATTGATTAGGGAGTCTCAAATGCTTCCCAAATGATTAGGAATACTTCTTAGCCAATTCCACATGAACCTTGATTGTTTTTCTATAGGTTTTAAGGTGTTGTAGTAAAAGAGAGAGGTTTGAAATCATTTTCAAGTGTGTGTGTGTGTGTGTGTGTGTGTGTGTGTGTTGTCTTAGTAAATCGAGAATTACTCTTATACCTTTATAATACAATGATCATTCAAACACAGGACTGGGTGAGTTTTCACACTTTCTTTCTTTAGCGACTTTGAAGCTTTAAGATCCCTTACTTTATTCATCATTGATTCAAAACTCTATCTAGAACTTAACTCTTCTAACTAATGATGTTTGATATATCTTCTTTGATAAACGACTTTATTAGAGGTTGTTAGATGTGAGATTATCAAGAACTTCACCAAATAACCTTAGGTGTTGAGATCATTGAATTTGGCTTTAGCATAAAAGATATCTTGATCTTTGATAAAACATTTTGATCATTGCTTCTTGAAAAATGAATACTTCACATAATGACGTTTGACATATAATATTGTCATTATTAAAACTAGCGTCTAAACGGGCACGCGAGTGTCTGTCTGTCCGCTTTTTTAATGCGCATGAATGAAAATATAAACGATATTTTTTGTTTAAATAAATTTTTAAAAAAAACAAAATATGTGGAAGTTAATAATAAAAAGTTATTAAATAAATTATATAATAAAGTAAGGGTACAAATGATAGAAAATTAAGCCACACCAAAACAAAGTATTCCCTTTATATATCGTATAGAATTATCATAAACATCTAACGGTTGCAGATAGTTATACTTACAATCACATAGATCTGCACTTTGCACATCTATATACATTTTATAAATATTCATTGAAACTTTTTTCAATGAATTTTTTTGAATTCTTTCAATTTAGAGAGATTTTTTTATTATGAAAAATAAAAACTCCTTAAAGTCATCTTCTTTAAAATCTTTAACTACTTCCACTTCATTCTTCTTTTTTTCCAAAGCACTGTATTCTCTTTTTCTCAAATTCTTAAAACAAAGTCTTAGGTTCTATTTACAAGTTTGAAGGATATGGAAAATGAGGGGAATTAGAGAAAAAAAACATAACAATTTAATTCACATTTTCCAAAAATAAAAAACTCAACAAACTTATTGAAAGAGAGATTCAGAGTAATAGAAAAACTAGATGATATTTTCATATTCAATCTAAATTGTTTTAATCCTTTTAAAATTTTAAGATATAATAATAATAAATATTTATTTATATTTTTTATAAAAAATATTTTTTAAAAAAATAATAATTTTTTAAAAAATAAATAATTTTTTCTCTCTAATTCTCTTTCTCAAAAAAATTCAATTTCATTCCCCTCCAAACTCATAATTAAGTCTTACAGAGCCAATCAAATACTTTAAAAAAAAAATTAAAATTAGTATATTTTTTTTAAATTAAATATTTTTTTTTGTATAATTGTAAAGATTAATCCTTAAAGCTAAATAGAATCTCAATGGATAATTTTGCAATTCCTTAAAAAAAAAATTAATACGGCTGCATATCCAAGGTTTGATTTGAATACAAAATTTCTGAATAAATTAAAAGATATTCATTATCATTCATCCAAGACTCTTGATTAAATTAGTTTAATATACATTTACTTAACTTTATTTTATAATTAGATCCTTTAATTTATAATTAGATCCTTCACAATCTTTTAAATTCTTTATAATTATGTCACTAAATTTAGACACTTAATCATAAACTTTTTAAAAGTTTATACAAGTAATTTTTAAAGAAAAAGAAATAAACCATTGACCTCTTTTAGCTTAAATACTTATCTAAAAATCTTTCAAATTAAATAATGAATTTAAAAAAGATTTTAAACCGGGTCGGGTTGAAAACGCCCTCGTAATGACCAACTTTAGAAAAACCGTCAGGGCTTTTCCAGAATCGCTTCTTCAAAATAAAGCACACGGAGAAAAATTTGTTCCTTTCTGTGAAAAAAAGCGTTTCAAGGTGCAACCTTTCTTCATATTAATATTCAATTTCATTTTTGTTGTTTTTTCCTTTCAATTTTGATTATTGATGTTGATTTGTGATTCTCATGTTTCATATAGGTGAAGGACGATGGCCAAGTCTTGCAAGGGATTGGCCATGGAGCTTGTGAAGTGTCTTAGTGAATCTGATTGTGTTAAGGTTCTGATTGTCTGTACTATTATTTTGTGATGTTATTGAATTTTACAACGATTTTTTTGTTGTTTGTGTGATTTCTGCAATGTTTGATTTTGATTGTTTTGATGTTTAATGGATGATGTGTTGTTGGTAAATAGGTTCAGAATAGATCCTACAGGGAGTGTGCTGGAGAGAAGTGTCCATCGATATCAAGTGAGTGTGTAGGACTCAGGGAAACCTATTTCAATTGCAAAAGAGGCCAGGCAAGTTTTTATTATTTCTTGGCTTTATCATGTTACCTTGTTAGCTTTGTAGCACTAACATCTCTGAAAAAAGATGTGTTTGAAATTGACGCTGATACTTGTGATTATGTTTAATTTATTATTTTTTCAAATTATTGTTGCTGGTGTCGACTTGTTGGTGTTGTGTTTGTGGTGTTCGTATTTCATAGCTGGTTACTTGTTATATATTTGTGGAGTTTTAGATGGTTTTTAACCCCTTAAATGGATCAGTTAGTTTGAGTTGGTTATTTAGATTTTATATTTGTTTGTTTATGCTAACCAACTATTGCATTGACTTGTATATGTAATAGAATTCAATAAGAATAGTTTTTTCAAATTTCACTCTACCGGTGTTCTTTACAGCTGGTATCAAAGCTCCATGAGGCGTCCAATATAGAAATTGTATATGCATAAGTGACATTTGTGATGGAAGATGTGTCTGGTGTTGGATACGTGTCGTGTTGGACAGTGACATTTCTTAGACACATGTGACTAGTGACTACATTCTATTCGTGCATTTAAAAAAAATATATTACCGGTGTTGATGTGGCAATGTTGTGCCCAAAGTCCATGTCTGGTCCAATGCCTCATAGAAAATTGTAGTTTCTTCTATGTGAATGAGAGAAAACAAAAAACTATAGAAATTCATGGTCGATGGGAGAAGCTTCCTGCAATCCCATGGTTTGATGGTCACTATCTGTGACCATTAGGAAACTCTTATAGAGAATCTCCTTTGATTGAAGGAGTATTGGAACTTGGTGGAAACTAGGATTCAGTTTCTCCCAGTTGTAGCAACTTAAAATCGGACAAGATTGTCTAAGAGAGCATGTTAAAAGATCTAAAGTTGAAAATATATCTATTTCAAGCTAGGGAAAAAAACTATCAAAGTTCTACAAAGGTTAAAGATGCTTGGTTGCAAGCCCTAAGGAGGGAATGTGAAATTCTTGGAATGAAGGCACGGGAAACTGTTGATGATTGTTTTTTGCAAGAACTCGTGCAATTGTGAACAGGGTGAAGATTCATGATGAGAAGATGGAACAACGTATGATTGTCTAAAAAATCCTCAGATCTGTGACTGCAAGATTTGATTATGGGGTATGATCTTTTGAGGAGTCGAGCAATGTAACCACCATGTCCATTGACTGGTCTCTTGGGGCACAATCCACGGATGAAAGGTCAAAAAGGAGAGCAAGCCCTTATAATCTCCAATGCTATACGGGGCAGGAGGAAGATGCAGGGGTTGTAGGGGAACAGGTAGAGGAAGACAACCCTTTCACAAGGAATTGGTGGAATGTTACAAATGCAACAAGTTGGGGCATTACCAAGACCAATGTCCTAGTGGGGAAGGGAGTGCCAATTATGCAAAATTCGATGAAGAGGAGATGATGCTCATGACATCTACAAAGGCTACAAATACCACAATTGAGGGAAACAAGTGGTTTATTTATCATGGAAGATTCAATGAGTTTGGGAAGCTTGGAGAAATTTCAAAGATGTCAGTCATGTGGTAAGAATATTAAACTGGAAATTAAGGGACTTACTCAGCTCAATGCTGATGCATTTTACATCCCTGAATTGTAAAATAGCCTCCTGAGTGCTATTCAGCTTCAGTGGAAGGAACTGATTGTTGTGTTTCAGCAAGATATGGTAAGGTCTCTCATTCGAAAGAGGCCTTATTTCTAGCAATATATCTGTTCATAGATTGTATGCCATTATTGCTCTTACGATTCTCTCTTCTGTTCGTATATAATGGGTGCGCACAACGCGCAATTGTAACTCTAGAGATATGGTCATATCAGCATTAAAGGCTTGAGAATTTCTTTACAGAAGGAGATTGAGTTATTTGAAAGCTTCTTAGAGACTTGATCTTGTTCATTCTGACATTTGGGGCCCATCAAACCTAAATCAAATGGAAAATAAGAGGTATTTCATCGCCTTTTTGACGATGAAGTACAAAAATATGGGTTTACTTTCTGCCAGAAAAATCTGCTGCCTTTGATATTTTAAAGTTCAAGGTTATACGTCCTTGGAATAGACGGGTTTAAAGAAGTGCAAGGTTATACTTCCTTGGAATAGATGGGTGGAGAGTACACTTCTTCAGTATTTGGTGTATTTTATAGAACTAATGGCATTAAAAGACAATCCCCATGAAATACAGTCCATAGTAGGCTGAAGTAGCAGAAAGGAATAATAGAACTGCAATGATTTTGGTTAGAGGTATGTTGTTAGAGAAAGAGGTTTGTGAAGAATTTTGGACAATATACATGCTCTAGCGGTAAAGGACGCCACACTGCACCTGAGGAGGCTTGGAATGGTTAGTCCGTCATTTTCAAGTATTTGGGCGCATTATACATAATATGCAGACACTCTTAAGAAAGAAATTGGACCACAAGAACATCAAGTGTGTTCTCTTGGAAGTCGATGAAGGAGTCTGATATTTACAGATATAGGTAGAATGAGACATTTTGAAACACTAGAAGTGGCTCAAAATGATTGTGGAATATTCATATTTCATTGGTCAACTCAAATATGCTAAGGAGGTCTTGGAAAGGTTAGGTTTTGAAAAGAGCAACACGGTGAACAATCCATCTGTCCTAGGATGCAAGTTATCAAGAAATGATGTAAAGGAGTAAAGGGGTGAGTTTGACAGCATACTCGATATTGATTAGTGACTATGCAATGGATGTGGGTGATAGAAAGAGTACACATCATAGAAGAAACCAGTGGTAACTTTATCAAACAAAGAGGCTAAATTCATTTCTACATCATCTTTATGCTTGCTTACCAAGGGGGTTGGCTAAGAAGCTTTGGATACGAACGCTATCACCATTTGGAACTGCAAGCTACAGTCATTGAAGAAGAAATAGCATTGAACTTTGGGACACAAGATAGTTTGAGTAATTGTTAATGATTCGATTGAAGTTTCTTCTTGCTTTAGCTTTCAAAGTACAGGAAAACAATGGTAACATTTTAGTCTCAGAAGGTTGATAGTTTTTCTCTCTGGCAGACACAGGGAATTTGCTGAAAGAAAATTCTCTTAACTTGTTATTGTGTTCAAGTTTATGCTCCATCAATTTTCAGCAATGAGACTAGTTAGAAGTTGAAATGGTTTTGATGATTAAGGTTCTAATGTCAATCTATATGATTATGGAACTTCAAATATTTAGTTAGTAGAGCCAAGAGAATCAATGTGTAAATGCATAGATTTGGTGAAGAAAATGAATAGCTTTTATGTGTATTAATGCGCAAGCTTCAGTTCAGTATGATAATGAAACTAAACAGCTATTTTTTTTCTTCTTTTGATTCTTATCAGATTGATATGAGAGCAAGGATTCGTGGAAACAAAGGGTATTAATGAATGCCATAAAATTGGAAAACTGTGGTATTGTACTGTCTAGTTTTGAAACTCAAGATGAAACCAACTCAAAGTGAAAGATGAGAATGAATCAGAGAAAAGGGAGACTAATAATTGTTTGATTCATGGCATTGTAAGTTTCCATGAAAAAGAAGTATTTTATATGCTAGAAAGATTAGCATAATACTCAAGTAGTTTCAATTTTTTTTATTAGTATAATGCTCTTTTTATACTACAAGATTAATAAAATTAGTGTATTACCCGATTCATAATCGTATATGTTTAGGACTACTGTATAATTTTCACGCTAACTAATAGAATCCATCTCACTTAATTTAATTAAAATAATTGCAACAAATTATTAGTGATAGCATTTGTGGGTAGCGTTACATTTCTTATAGAATAGTTTAATGTTTTTTTACCATAAGATCAAAATTAGAATTACTAACTTTTTGTCTAAATATGATGAAAATTTTCATCTTTATATAAACATATGTCTAATAGTACAATTTAGTGTGAAATTTTTTTAGTCGAAGTGAAAAACATCCTTCCATCATATTGAACTTTTTCTACTCCTATCCCTTATTTATTTATGAATGCATTGTACCACAATCTTCCCATTTTTTATTTAATTTTCCATTCCTATTTTTTTAAAAGTGTGACATTAGACACATTCAAATTTCTAATCCTCGACACTCTTCCTTTCTTCTATACATTTTATTCCATTTAACCTAACTCTCTCTTCTTCGTTGAAAATACTTTGCTCTTACGTGCTTTATATTTGGAAATTATGTAATATCATGGTCTTGCGGGATTATGTAATGTCACACTAAAAGCACTCTTGGTAATTATTTTGAATTGGTTAGACATCAACATTGTTTTAACTAGAAGTTATATCATCCACGCAACACTCTTTAAAAGTCGCAAAATAATTGATTTTCGGGATTTGGGAAAGAACAAGAACATGATAAACTTTTTAGATAAAAGAACTCTTTATATTGCATTTATAGATCAAGTTAAAATTAAGGTGTGGTGGTGGTAAAAGTCTAAAAATAAAAGTTTTCTATTGGATATGAATATTTGGGGGATCAATTGGAATTGGCTTGGTTGTTTTTCTATTTATAACCACATAATGTAATTTTTATTTTTTCATTTCGGCGTGCTTCTTAAATTCTTTTCGATTGTACTTACGAGTAAAAAAAATGATTAAAAAAGTATTAAAAGCGTTAGAAGGAAGGGGGTTATTTGATCTCAATATGCTTGTGAATAATTTCACTTTGTTGTCTTTGCTTAATAAACATTTAATGTAATTTTTCTTTTCTCGTTTTAGTGTGCTTCCGCAATTCTCATGCAGAGTTATATTTGACGTGTAAAAAAAAAAAAAAAAAAAAACCTAAGAAGGAGGGGTTAAACCTCAAACCTTGTGTATGAATTTTGTGAAAAGATATAATAAACATTTTAGGTAAAAGAACTCTTTATATCGCATTTTTTAGATCAACTTAAAATTAATGTGTGATAGTAAAAGTCTAAAAATAAAAGTTTATTTTTTTATATGAATATTTGGTTGATCAATTCGCTTAGTTGTTTTTTATTTATAGCCATAAAATGAATAAAATTTATTAAAAATGTTAGAAAAAGGACTTGAACCTCAAACCTATGAATTTTGTGAAAAGATGTAATAAACATAAACATTTTAGGTAAAAGAGCTCTTTATATCGCATTTTCTAGATCAATTTAAAATTAATGTGTGATGGTAAAAGTCTAAGAATAAAAGTTTATTTTTTATATGAATATTCGGTAGATCAATTCGCTTAGTTGTTTTTTTATTTATAGCCATAAAATGAATAAAATTTATTAAAAACGCTAGAAGGAGGGCTTGAACCTCAAACCTTGTGTATGAATTTTGTGAAGAGATGTAATAAACATTTTAGGTAAAAGAACTCTTTATATCGCATTTTTTAGATCAACTTAAAATTAATGTTTATTTTTTTATATGAATATTCGGTAGACCAATTCGCTTAGTTGTCTTTTATTTATAGCCACAAAATGAATACAAATTATTAAAAACGCTAGAAGGAGGGGTTGAACCTCCGACCTTGTGGTTAACAGCCACACGCTCTAACCAACTGAGCTATTCCAGCTTATTGATTAAAGGTCTAAGAATAAAGGTTTATTTTTTATATGAATATTCGGTAGATCAATTCGCTCCGCTGTTTTTTATTTATAGCCATAAAATGAATAAAATTTATTAAAAACACTAGAAGGAGGGCTTGAACCTCAAACCTTGTGTATGAATTTTGTGAAGAGATGTAATAAACATTTTAGGTAAAAGAACTCTTTATATCGCATTTTCGAGATCAACTTAAAATTAATGTGAAGGAGGGGTTGAACCTCCAACCTTATGATTAACAGCCACATGCTCTAACCAACTAAGTTATTTCAACTTATTAGTTAAAATTTAATCTAGTCCAATTTATTTAGTTAAAAAGTATATTTTATGCTTATTAAAGCCTAATTTGTTGAGTTGTCAAAATGGGTCTGACTCATCAAACCTATTCATAAACTCTATATTTTAGCTAGGTCAAACTACAATAAAACATAAAGAAAATATACAAATCATTTTTGGACAGTCAAAGGCTCAATAAAGAAAGTCAAATGAGTACTTAATTTTGATATATGTACTTCTACATGTCTAAGCTTTAAGGTACACACACTTTTCATACTTCATTCCACCTTTCTTTTTACTCATTCATTGGCTTAGGCGTTGGAGTGCTGAACTTGCAGATCTATCTCCGCTTTCAATCGCACTAGAGACTTGCAACACAGCATTAAGAGTCCACCATTTTAATTCACACATAATCATAGTTCTGATTCATAACAAAAATGATATAAACCCTATTTTTTTTGCATGTCTAAATTTAGGAATACCATAAAGAAAAGATACAAAATATTGCAAATGATGACAAATTTTAACTTAAAATATACTTGAATGAAAAATGTATGGATGATGATGTAGATATTCTTCAATATCGAAAAATAAATAGTGTTCAATTTTTTCAACTTTTTGTAATAACTTTATACATTTTAAGTATTCCAAATAGAATAGTTGCTTCTAAATTTCATAACTCATATATTGCATAAGTATAAGAATTGTTTATTCTCTGAAAATTGTGTCGGCTTTAATTTGTACACGTAATTGATTGTATTATTTTAAAATAGTTGGACCTTCAAGTAAGTTATAAATTATTATTAATGGTCCATACGTTTTTATTTTCAATTTGCATTTATTTTTTAGTCATTTAACTATCATGTATTATGAATTGCATAAATATAATAATAGGAGTGGAGATGATATAATTGTTTGACTCGCCAAGTGTTCAAAGGACTTAGGCATAAAAATTGTTTACTTTATAATTTATTTTGTTATTTATTTGAATTGTTATATGAATCATTATTTTGTGTATGAATGTATTTTATTGTCTCTAAAATTACATTATATGCCAAGTACTCTTTACTTTTACATAAATATTTTTTGTGGTATTCATTTATTATGGATGTTGATTTGATGAATATTTTAAATCAATTGACTAAGTTTATACATATAGTTTAATTGATGTAATATAATTTATGTGGTATATAGTTTTATTGTCCTTTGCACCTCTCTTTTTAAATTAAAAGCATAATAGTGTAATATATATAAGTTTGACCAATCAGATATCAATAACCCATTAGTAACTAGACTTAGCTTATTTTCGTAGTTTATAAAGTAAGGGGATTTCTAATCCCACCCTTTATGATGGAAAAACATTCTACAGAAAATTTAAAATGTCCTTCAGATTTCGAATATGCATTTTCATAACCAGTCAAAGTTGTAAAAGTTGAGTTAATTTAATGGTTAATCATATGAAAATGACGATTTATAATTATTAAGGCCCCTGTTATGTGATGAGCATTAAACCATACCGATATGCAAAAAAATGACATATATAAATCTGGAGTTAAAATAAGTCATCATGACATACACAATAAAGTCGAAATATACAATGAAGTCGAAATAAGTAAAAATAAAATTCAACCGAACAAATTCAAACTACAAATACTATCAACTATTGCGTATGTTGAACTCAAGCTCCTCTGCCTCCGTGCTTCGACGATATCTCTGGTACATTAATGCCTCTTATGCCTCCATCATAATGGAATCTAGGACCTCCCTCCTTAAAAACCATCAGGAAAGATACCTTTGTCAATACCTGTATATGCAATATCCACAATACGGCGACATCTAGGCAACACATCATGAGCATGACCTAACCTAGACTCATTCTCCTTCTCTAGTATCTCCTGGTGAGCTAGCCTCGGTGAATCTCCTAGAGCAGCTTGCACCATATATGGATGTGACACCATGAAGAACCACTTGATATACCCGTCTACATAGCTCCAGTAGCTCTCAACTATGATACTGCATGCCTCCTCCGCTAATAGATGACTAAGATAATCATCAAACATGACATCCATATATATATGTGTCATAGAGGGAGGAGAAGAGACAACAGGGTGTTTGGGGATTGTATGGGTGAAGTCAAACTAACGTATGACGCGCTCACGAAGATGAGGAAATGTCAGACATGAACCGCAAGCCAACCATCCCGAGTATAAGACTATGTCGTCAAATGGGTGTGTCTCATTGGGATCGACGTAGGTGTTAAAATGCATATCCTTTGCTACCAAGCGATCAAAATACACTCGAAACATCTATGTTGCCTAGTTCCCTCTGAGAGGGGAAAATGCGGAATCACGCGGCATATCCTTAGTATAGGTCAATACACATGACCAGATGGAGATGTTGATCGCGACTTTCTATGTCTAATACAACCTAACTGCAAGTGCACAGTCTATCGCGTAGTAATAATAGATATCGATCCCACAGGGACTCGTAATCAAACTAGTGTTCTCGGGAGTTACTATGTTTAGCTAGGTAGAATATGTTTAAGGGAATAAGA